TTTTTTGAAAATGTTATTGCAATAGTCATTATCAACTATACAGAGGCCGAATCGATAGCTTTTAGAATTTTTGACTCTCCATCTGCCTGTCTGTTTGTCTGGGAACCCATCATGAAAAAATCACTGAGTAGATTTTGATAAAATTTGGTATGATGTTGCTTGTTATCCGGGTCAACATATAGAGTACTTTTTACTGCGGGAAAATATCTCACTCTCACCCTTGCTCCGCTCGGGTACGTTTTGACTGTTAGTATAGATTTCTCAGATATGATATCTCTAATTTTATGTTATTAAAATACTATTTATATATAATAATTTTTTTTTTCGTTTGTGCATGTTCTAGTAAGGGAACATATTCGTTTATCGTAGTAAACATTACTTTTCAATTGCTTTATTTTTTCTAGATTTTTTTAATCTTTTTTTTTATATAAAAATTTAGAATTAAAAGTTAAACATAAATAATACAAAAATACATAAGTTTAAATTAAATTAAAGACATTCGAAATTGTTTCATTCCCACAATATTATTTTAAACGACATACCTTTAATCCTTCGTTTTGAATTGCAGGTATCCAATCTAATTTATAACACACAAACTAGCCGACACGTTTAGAACAAAAATCCATGGAGTATAATTTTTTTTTTAAACATAAATAAAATATTATTTTCACTGGTCTTTGTCCAGATTTGTCACAGACTGAGATGATTGATTTATTATTTTCATATATATATGTAGTTAATGCAGTCAGTAAACTGTACACTGTAAAGAGTACTGAAATCGTTAGACGCTTCAAGTAAAGTGTAAGGACCTTGCCTCGTCCACACTTACGGTTATTAATGACGTTTTTTAATTAGCATTGAGTAATTCAGCCTATTGTATAATGTGAGCTAGAACACAATCATATTAAGTACTTATTAATTAGATTGCATCATGGCGCATCAATACTAGCTATGTTTTATTTTTCAAATATATTTTTATAAAACGAATAAGAATGTCTGATCACACGTTTGGCTTAGTTTGTAGTGACCCTACTTGCTGTGCCAGCGGTCGCGGGTTCAAGTCCCGCTGGGGGCATTCATTTGTGTGATGAGCATGAATGTTTGTACTCCAGTCATGGGTGTATTAAAAGTTATATATGTGTAGCGTATCAGCTATCTAGTATCCATAACACAAACCTCGTAGTTTTTCATGGAACTATATGGTGCAGTGTGTTAATATTTCAACTAATTTATTTATTTATTTAAAATAAGGTTGTGAATTTTTGGTTACAAAATATATTTTTTTAATATTTTTTCTCTCTCGAACAATAAAAGGTACAATTTTTACGAAGAATAATTGTAATGTTGTCTATATTATTTAATCTTGGTTAATTTATATTTATATTTATTGTTGAAAGTGTCTGTTTAACATTACTCTATGTACGTACAATACGTATATTGTGACATTGTTTTTGTGACTTTACGTCTTTTTCAATTTTCGTACCAATACGTCAAGTAATTTTCAGAATGATGCGGTGTCATTTCCGCATAATAATATTAAATGTTTTGGTTTCTTCTAGAAAATTTATTAGTGTTAAATCATGAAACCTCTAAGTGACAAAAAAAAATACAGTTATTTTTTTTATATTCTGTACCTAACGCTAAGTTTATTTTGTTACCCTTAAGAGCTATTTTTTTAATTAATTATATGGTATTTTAAATAAAATTATCATTTCGTATTTTATTGTGGATTTATTTTGTTTTTTTTTTAAATGCTTTACAGCAATGGTCAAAAATTACCATGGTCACGAAAGAGACTCAACACTCTCCTCTCGGGAATAAAAATAAATCCGCGAAAACTATTAAAATATTATATATAACTATTTAAAATGTTAAATATTCGCGTATATCTAAGAAAGTATTAACTAAATAGTATAATTAAAATAATAATTAAGTATAACATAAAAGTATATAGTTAGTTCGTGCTCATTGATTTGTGTTTGGATCTAAATATAATAATAATAAAAATGATAATAATTCAGCCTTTTTGAGGAGCTGGATGTGCACTCAATGCGAAGAAGATCAGACCGTACTCCATAACGCAAATATAAATCATTTGTCACATCACACGTTTTTCAAAAACTTATTAGTTTCTCTTAGACGTTTTGCACGTTTTTTGATACGAATGAAACACATGAAAATTTTAGAGAGAATTTAGATCTAAAGCTTTACTTAGTTTTCCAATCAAGTAGGATACCAAACCTACCAAGTTCAATATTCTTCTTCTCCCTGTCCATTTCCCAATCACTCGGGGTCGGCGCAGTACATCTTCTGTACTGCTGAAAGGATTTGGCAAAAGTTTTACGACCGACCGCCTGCCTAAGGAGGGTTGACGTCAACCCTCCTTAGGAATGCTATTGTCTCTCTTTGTCTGAATGGTACCGGAAGTCTTGTAATATGCACTTTCGATTTTTTTGTCTTTTAAAACATTTTTTATACTATTACTTAAATTTTTAATGTTATTTTCGGATATATTTTAAAATAAATTCTGATTAGACCATAAATTTTGTTTTGACAAAGTTCAATATTATTAATAAGAGATGGTGCCATATGGCACTTTTATTTCATAGAAATAGTAGAATCGAAGAGTGATATACTATTATCATAGTTATACTGTGTGTGCAATATTATAATATACATACTAATATTATAAATTCGAAAGTAACTCTGTTTGTCTGTCTTTTCGTTTTTACGCTAAAAGAGCTGAACCAATTTTGATGACTTTTGGTATAGAGATGAGTGGGACCTTAGAGAAAGACATAGACTAGTTTTTGTCGGAAAAATCAAACTTGAAGGGGGTGAAATAGCGGTTGAACGTTTGTATTGGGAACAAATCATTTCTGAAGTTAAGGATTTGAAAAATATTTATCTACGCATATGTACAATAAAACAATACCAAAGCGAAATCTGTACATGAAATAATTTTTAAAAACAATGACTGTATTATGAACGGAATATAGACCTCGAAAAAATAGTTATTAAAATTTTCGTTTGTTTGTCTGTTTCGCTAATCTATACTATAATAAAACAGTAGAGGTCGAATGTCTGTACATAGCAAAAAAATAGTAAAAACCAAGTCAGGGGGATGTAAGAAGACAAATAGAACAAATTCAGTTTTTTTTCAAATGTTTTGTTTCTCTGTCTGTTTGTACGGGCTAATCTCCGAATCTATTGGACCGATTTAAATGAAATTTTGCATGGTGGTACCTTATATCTCCAGGCAACATCTTAGATACTTTTTATCCCGGAAATTAAATAGTTCCCGTGGGATAGTTAAAAAACTATAGTATATTATAACGCTTAGTACACAACAACTTATGCACTTAATTTAGTAAAATTTAACATTCCGATACCTTATATTGGCGGTCAAACAAAAGGTTACTTTTCATCCCGGAAAAATGAACGGTTCCCGTGGGAACTAATAGATCTCTATTAGTATTTTTCTAGAGGCGAACCTGAGCGAAGCGAGGGTGAGCCGCTAGTACTATATAATTTTTTATCCTAATTGAAAGATAACGTTACGTAATAAAGAGTATGTTACATTATGTAACATAATTTATTTAGTTTTTAAAAAAACACAGCAATATTATGGTATTTCCTTCGAAATTAGGTTATCATATTTTACTACACACATTCAATCACGAACAAGTGTAATAAGCCACGAATACTTTAAATTATTGCCTTTTATTGAACGGATGTTAATTGTACGTAATTACTATGATATATTACAAAATCGTTAGTACGTTTAAAGAGGATACAATATATTTAATCAGCCGTTATCCTTTAATTTACGTAGGATTTGAAACAAAAATTTATACTTGTGTAAATTCACATCTACCGAAATATACCAGGTATGTTTTTCTTAATCGTAACATTTAGGAAATTTTACGAGGAATCTAAATATGGCATAGAAAAAAATATTCATTAATGTTTGAGTATTGAAATTTCGATTTAAAAATTTCATTTTGTTATATTTTCATAATAGGTTCTTAGATTTACGCGAATATTTGACATTTTAAATAAAACTATATTTTCGGATTTTGTCGCGGATTTATTTGGGATTTTCATTTTGTTATTATTGGGTAGGTTGTCTGTTACAACTATAACTTCGAAACATCTAACACCTCAGTCTCTCCCGTGACCATGATTGCTGTAAAGTATTCGAAACGTCGGGAACCGAAAATCCAAATAAATCCGCGAAAAAATCCGAAAAGATAGTTTTGTTTAAAATTGTTATATTTTTTTAACAATAATAATAAAAAATCTGTATCTCTAAAATTAAAGATAAGATTTTTTAAGCAATTTATATAAAAGTAAAATTCGCCAATTTTTCTACTACCTACGATTTTTTTAAATTTACGTTCATCCCTGAAACTTAAAACCTCCCTAACTCGGTTAATTTTGACCGGAGGAAAAAAATGTCAAGATACCTTTTTTAATGTAAAATTTTAAGCTCTACATATTTTTATTAAAACTTTTTTGTCTAATTTATTTCTTTTACCGTTTTCGAGTAATTTCGAAAAAACACTTTTGACAAAAAAAAGTCTACCCTTGCCGGGGGTTGCAGACATGAAAACCTTAACACATTGTTTTTGTATTATTAAAACTTTACATTACTTTTACATTATAATGATTTGATATATCAAAAATGCAAAGTTGAGTGCCAACATTTTCATTTCAGACCTTATTTGACTGAACTAATCTGGTATCCATAACACAAGCCTCGTAGCTCACCATGGAACTAGATGGTGCAGTGTGTTAAGTTATTTACTCTCAAATGAAGTTTGTAAATGTGTGTTCTCTATTCTACGTGACATTTGCGAAATAATCTGTGCTCAACTGGCACGCTTTGAAGCTATTTATAAGAAAATTGAATAGAATCGTAAAAGTGTAATTAAAGAAACAAGTGTACTCACAATCTTATCAATTAGGCTAGGTAGAGTTCGAGCGCAGACTGTTCAATACGGCATAGCTCTATGATAGTGAATGAATTCATATTCTTCTTCTTCTGTAAGAGCACATTCTTCGAAACACCAAAGGCCCGCGATCGCTAGTAGCACTGTATACACCATACAGTATACTATATAGAGTAAGATTGTAAACAACATAGCTGTATTTTTCACTGGATTTGACGTTAAATCTGTAAAATAATAAAAATATACAATTATATTGCGATTATATTTATGAATATTACTATTTTGGGTATTAATTTGTAGCTCTACCTTATATTAATGTGGCGTTTCAAACTCTATATAATTTAATTTACAAAAAATTAAATAAAGCCATTATAGAAAAATATTCTAGAATACACAATTATAGTTTTGAAGAAGGAAAACGTTTAAAATATTAATATTAATTAATATATAAAAAATGTTGAGTATACTTGATATATTTATAACGTAATACTGCAGAAATTTAAAGAAACAGAGTTAACCAGCAGTAAATTCGACTTCTTCTAACATCTTAACTCTACGTAGAGATAATACTAAGTATACGTCATAATATCAAATAATTCCAAAAATGTCACTACGAGTATACCTATGTACATAATTGTAAAAACTCTTATTTTAGCTAACTTAAAGGCAAAATTTTCAATTTTCTTAGATTATTTTTTTCGTTATTTGCTAAAACTATTATGTTTTACATAAAAATCTGACGACACGTTTGGCTCAGTTTATAGTCGTCCTACTTGCTGTGCTAGCGGTCACGGATTCGATTCCCTCTGGAATTCATTTGCGTGATAAGCAAGGATGTTTGTACTCTAATCATGGGTATATATTTATAATATGTATGTATTTAAAGTTATATATGTGTAGTGTATCAACTATCTGGTATCCATAACACAGGCCTCGTAACTTACCATAGAACTAGATGGTGCTGTGTGTTAATGTCCCAACATATTTATTTATATTTATAAAAAAATATGATATACAAATGAACCTTGGCAGCGACTACTCACTTGTACGTGATGTTTGCAAAGTGGCCAAATTAATTCTATTCATGTACAAAACAAAACATTTAACTAGAGGTTGACGTTTATACAATTCACATTCCATATTCTATTTTTGAAAATATTCTTTAGAAACCCCATCGAATTTAGTATTTATTTAAAAAAGATATTTGAAAGGAATACAAATCGTCATAATTTTAAGTGGGTTAAATAAAAATAAAGGTTAAACTTTGATTGTTTTTCAATGATTGTATGTTTTATTTTTATTTATTTATTTATGTAGTATAAAATATATGTTAGCAAAATAAAGTAACAGAATTTTGACAAATGATAATATATATATGAAAGAGATTTCTTCCAGAAACTCTTCAAAAGTGAGAAAATAAGTAATTTTAATGCAGTGTAGTTACAGTACAGCATCAAATTATACAAACCTAATATTAAAATATATTAACTAACACAAAAATAAATTTATATATATAATTAGCACAAAATGAAATAGAACTCATTTAGTCACGCTAGAAATAATTCAAGTTTAAAGTTTAAAACGACTTTATTATGTTAAATAGATGGGGATATGGGAATATAAGATATTCTTTTTTTCTCTATATGGCATAAGAATACTGAGAACTCATTATATGGATAGTCATTAATATTTAAAACAAAATATTGTGAGTACATCTGCCTCTTTGTTAATAATGCTATCTCTGCAAAATTTAAATAACAAGTGAAGTTGCAAGTAAAAGTTGGTTCACAATTGTCTGAAGCCTTTCATCGAAGGAAAGGAAGACTGACAAGTTCTTCATATAGATATTACCAAGAAAGTCGATTTAATGACGTTATAAAACTACAATTGATGCAAGAGGAAAAAAAAAACAATGAAGTTACCTATGTTTTAATAAAATGATATAAGATCTGATAAGCCTTTTATATATTTCTCGCAATGTAATCATAATCGATTATTCATAGACACGTATCGATGAGTAAAATTATTAAATCTATTATATATAGATGACTGTTAGAATAACAGTAACATGTAAACAACTTATTTTTATTCGGTACGTTTTAACGGTTATACAAATCTTTGAAATTCTCGGCTTTTCTGTATTATAATATGCATGTATTATACATATAAACCTTTTTTTTTTAATTACTCTATCTCTTGCTGAAAACTGCATTAAAATCTGTTGAGTAGTTTAAAAGATCTAAGCGAACAGACAGCGGATGCAACTTCATTTTATACTATGTAAAGAAGACTAGCGACATACCCACACTTTGCTCAGATACGTCCTTACGTCTCCAACAGTGGACTATATGTCGTTCACATCTTATCTAGGTACTAAATTTGATCGAAATCCGTCCAGCCTCTTTAATGAAGGAGCAATAAACATACACACTTAATATAAAAAAAATCATATTATCAGATCAAAACAGTATCCCTTTTAGAATTAAACCGGTAAGTTTTTCGTAAAGGTGTTACTTTTATATATTTGCCAATTGTTTGTCACTTTTGATGATCTTAATATTATTTAATCGATACAATTCGATATGTATTTATATCACTGCATAATTGTCACCTTGCTGAAGAAGATAAAATTTAAGATTAGATTAATACGAAATGTTAAAAAAAATCCTTATCAATTTTTGAGGTAATTATTATTTTTATTTGAATTAAAATTTTGAATATGGACCCGGAACTTTTTTTTAACCAGACAAAAGAGAAGAAGCAAATACGTGTTATGTTGATTTTCAACTCCGACCAGCTGAGCTTGTAAATGTATGTACGTTTTATTTAGCAAATGTAGAATAAACCGTATAAAAATCTAACTATACATATAATAAAATTAAATTTGTATATTATATATTTTTTGGAAAATCTTATTGAAATAGTCATTATTATCGATATATCGATACAGAGGCTGAATTTAAAATAATCAGTTTTTAGAATTTTTGTCTGTCTGTCTGGGAAGGCATCACGAGAAAACTACTGGACAGATTTTGAATATGATATGATGACAGCTGGTTATCCGGGTCGACATATAGGATACTATTTAGTGCGAGAAAATATCTCATCTCTGGGAAATCTATACTATACGTTAAAACGTATCTAGGGACGAACCCGAGCAGAGTGAGGGTGAGTCGTAGTAGTGTGATATATGTTTAAAAGTCTACATATTAAGAAAATATAAAACAAAATTCCACGTGCTAATTATATTTATCGATGATAATATTTCCTGTGGGAACCTTTTCTTTTATAGCATTAAAAATAAGCACAAGATATACAACTGTACGTTTTTAAATATCTCTCAGGAAAAACCTCTATCAGTTTCATTAAAGAAATGATTCATAGTAAAAACTACAGGAAAATCTTAATTTAGAAAACCCATGACTAAACAATTTGTGTGTTGTGATTTTAACAAAAACTGGCTCGTAATTGGTTTTGGTGCCTTTTATTTTCATAACTTTACTAGCGACCAACCCTTGCTTCGCTCGGGTATTTTTTAAAGATTTTTTGTTTTAGCCCTATAAACTTCCATAACTTTCAGTGAAAACCCCATTGCAACCGGTCAAGCCGTTCGAAAGATTACCCCGGAAAAACAGACAAAATTTAAAAAAAGGGTTGTTTAGGTACTGGTATAATATAAATAAATAACTCTACGTACTTGAGAAAACATAGTCATTTTAAAATCAGAGACATACAATATTATTTATATCTATTTTATATAGATTTTTTCTATAGATGCCTTTTTTCTAAAGTCAGCGCCATCTTTTGGCAAATTGTATTTTATACAAACTTTAGCATTTAAGGTTTCTGCCCCCTAGACCGTGTCAACAGTGTATCATACTCGTACATAACGGTTTTAGTGCTGCGTATGCTCATCATTGCGCCGCCTGCAGCACCGGTCCCGCAACGTCGCGTACCATGCATGGAGCGTCTCGGCACCGGCAAAATATTCTCGACGACAATTGTTACTGCACCGTGCACGGCACGTGACGGTGCCGGTCGGTGACGGAATGATCTAGCGGACAGAGTCTAACACTTTTCAATACAAAGCATATTTTTTTGAATGACACGGTCCTAGCAAGATCATGGGATGAGACGGTGTAGTAGGCAGACTCCTTTATAATATATAATACGATGATTAAATAACTAGTAAAATATTTTTTCTAACCATATAAAATTGTAACGATCTCACATATTACACTAAAAGGCATGAGTTTGTTATTTTTAAGACGTTTTTCAATGGAAAATCGTATTACCGGATGCTTGGTTGATGCCATCACTATCTTGGCTCAGGCTAATAGAGACATATTTCAAAAGAAACATAGTTTAGTATATAATTTGATTAACTTATAAATTACTAGCAGATCCCGCGTCTTCGCTCGCGCTAAAACTACAAAAAAATCTTAAAAAAGTAGTTTCATAGAAACAAACTTTCATCCCCTATTTTACCCCTTTCCCCTTATAGGATAAATTTCGAAAAATGCTAAAACACGTATTTATTTAATATCATTGAAGAGCATTAATACAAAGTTACAAGTAATTCTGATCATAAACATTTTTTTTTGGATTGTATTATAACCTGTTTTCCTGTTAGAATTAAATAAGCTCCCGCGTTTAAAAGTAGCTTATATTACTCTTCAGCCCTCCAACTATCTCCACACAAAAAATGATGCTAATCTGTTACTCCGTTTCGACGTAAAAGAAGGACAAATAAACAAACAAACACACTTTGACATTTATAATATTAGTATGGATTATATGTATATAAACATTTAAAAAGGAAAAGCAAGTTTTATGATAGTAGAGCGCCAGGCTTAGACTAATGAGGATACTCCAAATTTAATAAAAAATAGTTTTAATTTTTACTTACCGATAAAATATTTAAACCGATCTACTGCTTCGTGCACTTCAATCTGAAAAAAAAGAAAAAAAACTTTAGTTATATTTTTTAATAATAGCGATACACATTAGCATTTTTAACTATTTTTAGAACTCTTAACGACGCGAAATTTTTGTTTTGGTTTTCAAATAAATTAAAATTCTGTAGTATATTAATGAGATAGTACCTCAAAGTTAAAAAAAAAACAAGATAAAATGAAGTTGTATAAAGCCTTATATTTTTCATGTATTTTAACCGACTTCCAATTCCAAAAAGGAGGAGGTCAATTCGTCGGAACCTTTTTTTATGTACGTTCACTGATTACTCGAAACGATTTGGTTTTTTTTTTGTTTCAAAGGGTATATATATGTATATATACTTCCCAGATGGTCCCATAAATTCATCGAAATCGGTCGAGTGGTATTTTAAAAAATCAACAATAAATATTTTTTTTTTTAATTTCAATAGCAATTAAATAAATTGTTTAATCGAATATGTTATTAACAAACTTTCTTCTTTGAAATTACCTGCTTATTACGTCTACACTAAAAATGGGAAAATAAAAACTTTTTAACAAAAAATAAAAACCGACTTCCAGGCACTAAAATGTAAAAAATAACTAAACGGAGGTTTTCATTTAGAATAGATACCTAATCCGATATTTTCGAAGTCGGTGCCAGCCTACAATATTTTAAGTTATGAATATCTAATAGGTAAATATGTATTTTACGTATCGAAATACGAGTATATTAGATTTGCTTTGCATCTGCTGGTACACTGGGCTACCACTGCCTTTGTATAGAAAATATTTGATTCGATCTATTCGATAAACGACGACACGTTTGGCTCAGTTTGTAGTAACCCTACTTGCTGTGCTAGTGGTTGCAGGTTCGAGTCCCGCTGGGGGCATTCATTTGTGTGATGAGCACGAATGTTGTAATGTAAATATAAAAAATGTAACAAATGTAAGTACTCCAGCCTGAATGTATATTAGTGTACCCACTAACTGGTGTCCATAACACAAGCCGCGTAGCTTACCATGGAACTAGATGGTGCTGTTTATTAATGTCTCAACATATTTAATTATTTTAATTATATAATATTACTGTAGCTCGGTAGCTCGTAGAGCATTTACATGAAACTAAAAATGGAAATTTCCATCCTTAGGGGTTTTATTTCTTGACAATTAAAAAATGGTATATAAGATCGCTTTTGAGCCAAA